AAGAAGACTGAGATTTGATGATGAAATTATAGAATGCTTTTTCTTCTCATGCGTTGACACCACACGAATGGGTTACAGCATAATAATAGAAATTACACCTGAAATTTTGTAAGGCACAAGTTTTCTTTCAGGAAAACTACCTATGAAATCCCCACATAAACAAGGGAGATAAAAATAAGGACAACAGAGGAAATGGAAGCCTCTGGAACATATGGCTACAGCAAATATTAAACCCAGCTTAACTTATAGCATGTGTAAGGGAGATGGCTGTGCTTTAGTCAGGAGTAGGCTGAGGTGGCCTTCCAGCACAGCATGGCTTAGTGGGTTTGGAGTGCAGGTGCATAACCCCATGTATTATATAATCATTCCCCATGAGGTACATTGGGTAACCACTCATGTGAGCTCATGCTTGTCTTGGAGTCATGATTGTCCACTAATGCTGTGCATATGGCTTATGCCCAGAGAGAGAATAAAGTCATGTTGCAACTACCTATGGTTCCTCAAGTGTTTTTCCAGAGACCTGCCACCTGCCCACTGACTCCTCCCAGACCTCATATCGGGCTCAAACCTGACAACTGGTATAGCTGGCAGTATCCCAAAGTGAGTGGGCCTTCAGTCCTGCTGATTCCTGGTTAGCCATGTGGCCACAACATGGGTTGTGGTACCCAGTGGCAGCTGCACTGGTCAAATGGGCTCCAGTGGAAACCTAGCCAGAAGGCACTGAAGCAGCTGGAAGGACAGAGCACCGAGAAAATGTGAGTGTCTGCTGGCAAAGTTGGATGGGCATTTTGACTGTGCTACAAGAAGCACACCCCCAGTTCCCAAGGGATGCAACACAGGTAAGGGACCTTCAGGCACAGGCGGGCACTTGGAGGCCCAGCTTCAGAGCTTGGAAAAAGAATTAGAGGCTGCTCTGAATACAAACCTCAGTGCATCGTCTTGGCTGGAGATCCCCACTCAGTCTGATACCAAGGAGAAAGAACCCAGATTGAGGGCTTGTCAAGTGGTCTGTCTGAAGGCAGATCATGAATGAACAGCCATTAGGGCCCAAAGGGCAGCCTCAGGGTCCCCCTACCATATTGCAGCACACTTCATATATTGCCTATACCTCAACTGAGTTGCAGGAATTAGGCAAGCAGTGCCGCCACCATCAGGGGAACCCTTGTTCACCTGGACGCTTCATCTGTGGAATGAGGGAGCAGATTGTATCTCCTGTTCCATCTCTGAAATGGAAAAGTTGGCCTCCATCTTGACTCACCTCCGCACCCCCCATCAGTGGCTGCAAGTGTCACAGGCAGTAACAGGGCAAGATGGCCACACCCTGATCGAATGGCTATGGGCAGCCATATGGCCTAGGTGGAACAATGCCAGTGAAATAATCAAAACTGAGTAAATGGCAGTCATATGCCAAGGTGATGCAAGCCATTAAGAGATGGGCACACGGCAGGCTATCTTTGACCTGCATACCTAGGGGCCAGATTATGAACGTTTCCCTCCCACATGAGGGATCTCATGTTGGGTTCTGTGCCCCTGGGGATGTCTCCCTAGCTGCTATCCTCACCCTGCATGTAGGGCACCACATACAGGAAGTGACCGCTGCCATGGTGGCTCTCGGGGAATCAGAGGTCATTGGCAGGACTGAGGGGACAGCGCCATGAAGAAGGGGAAGGTGCCTTACCTGCAGGGGGCTTCCCTATGAGAGAAAAGGGGACCCCAATGAGTGACACCCTAATAGATAGGGATAGATTTGATTTTGGCTGGGGTTGACTGAGAGAAAATTGATAAGCCCAATGAAATACGCTTAACTTTATGGAAGCAATTATCACTATAGCAGCAATTCCAGAAAATGCCCAAGGGGGTGAAAGACATTGTTGCAGGATGCAGTCCCACCCACGTGCTCCAGTTCAAAGACTACTTGCTGGAGTCAGGTGGAGATGTAGAGCTTTTTCTGTTTGATTAGGGAAATAGCCAAGGTGCCTGGCTTGGGGGTACACTGGACAACCAGAGGCCACATTTGGAATTAGCAATCCACTGGTCTCCCAGCCATGTACAGCGGGTGCTGGTGCTGGTGCTGGTAGATACTGGTGCAGATTGTAGTCTTGTATATGGGAACCTGGATAAGTTTCTGGGTGAGGCTGCATACACTGATGGCTATGGAGGCTGGTCAGTGAAAATGAAACCTCTGCACCTCAGCATCAGTCATTTGGCTGCCCATTTATATACTGTGTATGTGTCTCCTGTACTGGAATACATTCTGGGGGGAGACATTTTACATGGTCTGGAGTTACAGACCACAGCCAGGAAATTCAGACTTTGTGTGTGTGTGGTGAACCCAGTGCTGTGTTTACACGTGCATCACCAGCCTCAGGTTCTGCCACAGCCCTGAAAGGTTACTTCCAGCTGTCAGTACCATTTTCCAGGAGAACATACAGAGATAACTGAGAAAATTAAAAACTTGGATGAGGTGCAGATAGTGCGTGGCACCCATAGCCCCTACAATTCTGCTCTACAAAAATGTCGCCCAAAGAATGAGAAGATAAGCCACAAAATAGAAGAAAATATTGCAAAAGACTTGTTTGATGAAGGAGTGTTATTGAAAATATAAAGAACTTTTAAAACTCAAAAATAAGACAACAAATAATCCAATTAAAAATGGATAAAAGACTTGCATAGACATGTCACTAAAGTAGATATACAGATGGCATATAATGCACATGAAAAGATGCTCAACATGATATGTCCTTAGGGAACTGCAAATTAAATTAGGAACCCCTGCACACCTGTTAGTATGACCAAAATCAAAAACACTAACAACATCAAATGCTAGTGAGAATGTGAAACAAAAGGGATTCTCATTGACTGATGATAGAAATCCAAAATAGTATAGCTACTTTAGAAGAAAGTTTAGTAGTTTTTTCCAAAATTCAACGTACTCTTACTATATGATCCAGCAATTGTACTCCTTGGTATTTATAAAAATGAGTTGAAAACCTATGCCTACCCAAAAACCTGCACATGAATTTTACAGCAGCTTATTCATAATTCCCAAAACTTGGAAGCAATCAAGATTTCCTTCAGTAGATGAATAAAAGTAAATAAGGTACATACCAATAATGGAATACCATTCAGCACTAAAAAGTAATAAGCTATTAAGCCAAGAGACATGAAGAAACCTAAACACATATTACTAAGTAAAAAATGTAAAAGCCAATCTGAAAATTCCATACATACTGGATAATTCCAACGGTATGATGTTCTGGAAAAGGCAAAACCATAAAGACAGTGAAAGGATCAATGGCTACCAGATATTAGGCAGTAAGATCTAGGCAGGACACTGAAGATTTTTAGAACACTGAAGCTATTCTATGTGATATTATAATGCTGGATATCTGTCATTATAAATTTGTTCAAACCTATAGAATGTACAACACCAAGAAAGCACTAATGTAAACTATGGAACTTGAGTGGTGATATGCCAAAGTGGGTTCACTGATTGTAACGTGTGTACCACTCATGTGTGGGAGTTTGATAATGATGGATGCTGTATGTATATGAGGACAGGAGTATAGAGAAATCTCTGTATCTTTTTCTCTTTATTGATGTGAACCTTAAACTGCTCTAAAAAAACATATTTTTTAAAAACTTTGATTAATATTTAAGGACCCTAATAGAAACAGGAGGCCAAATGCAACAAATGCAAGCATAGAAAAGTAATGTAAGAAGAGAGATGGAGACTCTCAGAAAGAATCAAAGGAAATAGTAGAAACAAAAAAGTTGTAACAGATGCTAAGAGTGTTTTCAATGAGTTTATCCATAGACTGAACATGATCAAGAAAAGAATCAGTAAGTTTGAAGACGTATCAATAAAACTCTCCAAATTAAAATGGAAAAAAAGAAATAAAAATACAGAAAATAACCAGAACTGTGGTACAATTTCAAAAGATGAATATTTGTGTAATTGAAAATCCCAAAGGAAAAGAGAGAACAAAGAAAAGAAATATGTGAAGTAATAATGGCCAAAAACTTTCTGAAAATAATGAAAAGCATACAACCAGAAATCCAAGAAGCTCAGAAAACGTCTATCAGCATAAATATACTAAAAAAAAGAAAAAACTACACTTGGGCATATTATGTTCTAATTGCAGAAAAGGAAAGACAAAGAGATAATCCTAAAAGAAACCAGATGGAAAAAAAAAAGTGTTATTTATAGAAGAACAAGGATAAGAATTACAGCAGACTTTTCACCAAAAAGCATGCCACCTAGAAGAAAGTGGAGGGAAATGTTTAAAGAATTTAAAAATGTAACCCACCAACCTAGAATTCCGTATGGAATGAAATCATCTTTTAAAAGTGAAGAAAAATGAAGATAGTCTTTGAAAAAAATAAAAACTGGGAATTCATCAATAGCATATCTCTTGCAAGAAATATTGAAAGAAGTACTTGAAAGAAAAGGAAAGTGATCCAGGCATAAATTTGCATCTAAATAAAAAAAGGAAGATTGTCAGAGAAAGAATAAATGAAGATAAAATGCTTCTTTTTTTAAAATTCTTAATTACTTTAAAATATACCTACTAGGTATGCTAATTACATGGATGATGAAATAATCTGTACACCAAACACCTGGGATACTCAATTTTCCCATGTAACAAACCTGCAAATGTACCCTTTGGACCCAAAGTAAAAGTTAGAAAGAAAAAAATTAGAACTGTTTACAGTGATAATAGTAATTATATAGTGTGTGATTACAGTATATAGATAAGTAAAATGAATTCAGCAATGTCACAAGGAATAAGAAAAGGAGGGATAACATCAGGAGAAATACCTAATGTAGGTGATAGGGAGATGGATACAGCAAACCACCATGGCATGTGCATACCTATGTAACAATTCTATGTGATCTGCTCATGTACCCCAAAACTTAAAGTAAAAAAAAAAAGAAAGAAAAGGGAATTAGAAATGCTCTAATATAAGATTCATGCACTATATGTGAAGTGATATAGTGTCATTTGAAGGTTAACTTAGATCAGTTAAAAATGTATACTGCAAACTCTAGGTCAATCATAAAGATATTTTTAGAACAAGTATAACTGATGCTATAGTTCAAATATTTGAACCTCCAAACCTCATGTTGAAATTTGATCCCCAGGGTTGGAGGTAAGATCTCATGGGAGGTATTTCGGTCATGGGGGTGAATTTCTCATGAATATATTAATGTTCTTTATTGTAAAGGGTGTGAGTGAGTTCTTACTCTGTTAGTTCCCATAAGAGCTGGTTGTTTTAAAAGGCCTGGAATCTCCTCCCCTGATTTCTTCTCTTTCACTCTATGATCTCTTCACATGTTGACTTCCCTCCTCTTTGTCATGAATGCAAGCAGTCTGAGGCCTTGATTAGAAGTAGATGCTTGCACAGACTGCAGAACCATGTACCAGATAAACCTATTTTCTTTATAAATTAACCAGCTTCAGGTATTCCTTTTTAGCAACACAAACAGACTAAGACAACTAATATTCTAAGAGAGGAGATAAAATTGAATTTTATGAAGTGCTCAATTAAAACCAGAGGAGGCAGGAAAGATGAACAGAAACAAATGCAATCAATAGAAAACAGTTACAAACATAACTGAAATAAATTTAAATATAATAATCACTTTAAATATGAATGATATAAATCTTTACCAATTAAAGACAATGATCATCGGAGTGGTTAAAAAACAAGACCCAATTATATATTGTCTACAAGAAACCCACTTTAAATATAGTCTCCACTATTTTAATAATAGATGTGTGGAGAAAGACACGATATGCTAACACTAGTCTAAAGGAAGCTGGAGTAGCTATATTAATTTTAGAGAGCATACTTCAGAACAAGAAATATTGTCATGGATAAGTAGGGACATGATGTAATAATGCATCCATTCTCCATGTCTTTATCATGTGTATAGCTGCTGAAAGAGTGTCAAAAGGGAGAGAGATCCAAGATGGCTGATCACTAGCAGCTCGGGATTGTAGCTCCCAGTGAAAGCACAGAGAACGAGAGTACACCACACTTTCAGACAAATTTTTGTTGCTCACGCACCAGGAGATACCCAGCGGAGGAGCCCCATGGGTCGCCAGCGCGACTCTTATGGCCGGTGAGGCGGCTTTGCAGCTGACTTGGTGCAGCGGTTCTTAGTGCAGAGTCAGAAAAGCACCATCAATCATAACGCCGCTGTTTTGGCCGACACTGTGGGTTGCTCAGATTTTAGCATTGGGAATCAACAAGTTGGATGTCCACTCAGAAACCCAATTATAAAGACGGTAATTATAAAGACCACAGATGGATAAATCTATAAAGAAGGGAAGAAAACAGCCTAAAAAGGCTGAGAATACCCAAAATCAGAATGCCTCTCCCTCTACAGAGGATCACAGTTCCTCATCAGCAATGGAACAAGGCCTGATGGAGAACCAGTGTGTTCCATTAACAGAAGCAGCCTTCAAAAGGTGGATGATAAGAAACTTCTGTGAATTTAAAGAACTTGTTCTAACCCAGTGCAAAGAAACTAAGAACTTTGAAAAAAGGTTTGACGAAATGTTAACAAGAATATACAATTTAGAGAGGAATATAAGTGAATTAATGGAGCTGAAAAACACAACACGAGAACTTCGCGAACTATGCACAAGTTTTAACAGCCGAATCGATCAAGCAGAAGAAAAGATATCAGAAATCGAAGACCAACTTAATGAAATAAAATGAGAAGACAAGATTAGAGAAAAAAGGATAAAAAGGAACGAGCAAAGTCTCCAAGAAATATGGGACTATGTGAAAAGACCTAATCTACGCTTGATAGGTGTACCTGAATGTGACGAAGAGAATCAATCCAAGCTGGAAAATACGCTTGATGATATTATTCAGGAAAACTTTCCCAACCTAGCAAGGCAGGACAATATTCACTCCAGGTAATACAGAGAACACCACAAAGATATTCCTCAAGAAGACCAACCTCAAGACACATAATCGCCAGATTCACCGGGGTTGAAATGAAGGAGAAAATACTGATGGCAGCCAGAGAGAAAGGTCAGGTTACCCATAAAGGGAAGCCTATCAGACTCACAGCAGATCTCTCAGCAGAAACCCTACAAGCTAGAAGAGAGTGGGGGCCAATATTCAACATCCTTAAAGAAAAGGACTTTCAACCCAGAATTTTACATCCAGTCAAACTAAGCTTCATAAGTGAAGGAAAAATAAAATCTTTTGTGAACAAGCAAGCACTCAGAGATTTCATCATCACCAGGCCTGCTTTATAAGCGCTTCTGAAAGAACCACTACACATAGAAAGGAACAACCAGTATCAGCCTTTCTAAAAAATACCAAAAAGTAAAGATCATCAACATAATCAAGAATTTACATCAACTAATAGGCAAAACAGCCAGCTAACATTAAATGGCAGTATTAAACTCACATATATCATTATTAATTCCAAATTTAAATCGACTAAATCCCCCAATCCAAAGACACAGACAGGCAAAAAAAGCCAAAACCCATCGGTATGCTGCATCCAGACCCATCTCACATGCAAGGATACACAAAGACTCAAAACAAAGGGATGGAGAAAGATTTACCAACCAAATGGAGAGCAAAAATAAATAAATAAATAAATAAAAAAAAAGCAGGAGTTGCTTTAAAGCAACAAAGATCAAAAGAAGCAAAGAAGGATATTACATAATGATAAAAGGATCAATGTAACAAGAAGAGCTAAAGATCTTAAATATATATGCACCCAATACAGGAATACCCAGATATTAGATATGTAAGACTTATAAAGAGACTTAGATATATAAGATATATAAGACATAAAGAGACTTAGACTCCCACACAATAATAGTGGGAGACTTCAACATCAATATTAGACAGATCAATGAGACAGAATATTAACAACGATATCCAGGATTTGAACTCAGATCAGGAACAAGTAAACTTAATTAATATTTATAGAACTCTCCACTTTAAATACACAAAATATACACTCTTCTCAGTACCAGATCACATCTATTTACAGGTTTCAATGAAATATTGGTTGGCTTCTTGTTTGTTATTTTCTTCTGTCATTTTTTTTTCATGTCTCTATTATTAAGCACAATTATAGGCATACCCATTTTTAGACTGCATTCTAGCCCGGGCAATAAAGCAACACTCCCATTCTCTCTCCCTCTTCCTCTTTCTCTTTCTTCCTCTCCTTC